AGGCTGACATGGGAGGATCACTTGAGCCTAGGAGTTTGAAACCAGCCTGGGCAACATAGGGAGACCTTGTCTCTCCAAAAATTTAAAAATCAGCTGGGCATGGTGGCACATGCCTGTAGTACTAGCTACTCAGGAGGCCAAAGTGAAAGGATCACTTGTGCCTAAGAGGTCAAAGCTGCAGTGAGTCGTGATCTCACCACAGCACTCCAGCCTGGGTGTCAGAGAGAGATCCTGTCTCAGAAACAAAACAAAACAAACAAGTAACAACAATAACAATCAATTGACCATAACTGTGGATTTATTTCTGGGCTCTCTATTCTGTTCCACTGGTCTATGTGTCTGTTTTTATACCAGTACCCATGCTGTTTCGATTACTACTGCTTTATAGCATATTTTGAGGTCAGGTAGTAAAATGCCTCCAGCCTTGTTCTTTTCACTCTAGATTGCTTTGGCTATTCAGGGTCTTTTGTGGTTTCATACAGATGTTTCTTATTTTTAGCCATTTGCATACAATATTTTGACTTAAATTTTTTAAATAAAAGATCTTCCATAAGACCATTGTTTAGATCACAGCAGTAGGATTTTCCTCAACATTTATCAGGCTTTATAGTGGTGTGTTGACAGCACTGCAGCTGGCCTTACATGTGTTTATTTTAATCTTAGTAAAGTCATGTTTACACTCTATAAGTAGTACACTAGTTATTTTATGGATTTGGAAAGCTGTCCAATTCTCATTTATTGTAAACAGAATAGAATGGCCATTTTAGATCTTCACAGTATGGAATTTCGCAGCTAAAAAAGAAACGTGATTGCTTTTAAAGGTTCAAGTTCTACAAAAAATTACTCAATTGCAGATAAATGTATTCTAGAGTCATCGAGTCCATGAAATCCAATCAATTCTTATATAGAAAAGTCTCAAATCTTGAGTTCTCTAGGAGGGCTTAACATGGAAAGAAATTAACTGATGAACATAATTAGCCAAAAAATGTAAGGAAACAGCATATCCTATTATACCATGGATTAGTAAGTTTAATTATGAAAAATAGCCTGGAATTTTTTTTTTTTTTTTTTTTTTTGGTGACAGAGTCTTGCTCCATCGCCCAGGCTGGAGAGCAGTGGCGGGATCTTGGCTCACTGCAACCTCTGCCTCCCGGGTTCAAGTGATTCTCCTGCCTCAGCCTCCTGAGTAGCTGGGATTTACAGGGCGCCCGCCGCTATATCTGGCTAGTTTGGGTATTTTTAGCAGAGATGCGGTTTCACCATGTTAGGCTGGTCTCGAACTCCTGACCTAAGGTGATCCGCCCACCTCGGCCTCCCGAAGTGCTGGGATTACAGGCATGAGCCACCGCATCCGGCCTAGCCTGGAAATTGTTATTGTTGTTCTGAAACATTTACTAAGCACAAACAGCAGAGTGAGGAGCCCAGCCTAGGTCCAGGAATCCTGATTGACAGTGCCAAGGAGGACTCTCAGTCACTCAGGGAGCCTGTAGGTGGGAGAGCAAGTGATGCCTGCAGTCATCAAGAAGCATAATCTAAAGAATCAGCTAATGGAGGGTGGCAGGAAGACAAAAGTGCATAACAGGTTACATTTTTAATGAAGTAAAGGAAGCATAGACCAACTTCTCTTCACTGACATCAGAGCCCTTAAGTGACTGGTACAGAATGACAAAGAGCTGCAAAGATCCTCCTTTGAATTTCACAGATTCAACAATTCTCCCTAAACAGCAGTGGGAACTAAAAATTCCCTGAGAGCCAAAAACAGTAGTTTTCATTGAAAATAGATTTTAAAATATTTTTCTTACAAGCCTTCAGGGAACACAGAGGTAAGGTCAGAACATTGCATTTAATCTCAAATTCAGAATATATCACAAGTCATTACATAAAACGCTAAAAAAACCATTTATCATTCCCCCACCCCATCTATCAATCTCTCTTTTCTCACATGCACACACATCCATGCATGCATGTAACTCTTTAAAGCACCATGTTTATTCCTGCAAAGTGTGGCAGTCTCAAATTCTCAATTGCTCATCTCTACAAGATCTCATCCAGAATGTCTTAGCCTTATGAAAGGCTCAAGAACATGACTGATTGGTTACATTGTTCATTCATTAACTTTTATTCAGACTTGGACTGGTCCAGATCACTGAAAGCAATTCTCCTTCCTCTGGTTCATGTCAAAATAAAAGCTCCTGCTGGCATTTACTCATGATTTGATATACTTTCAGACACGTTAGGACTTCAGGTAATCCTCATATTCCTATACATTTAAGACAAATGTTTCTGTTGTTGTTCAATACAGCTTTTTCCCAAAAAGGGAAGAGAATAAATATTCCCGGGTAGAGGAAACCCATGTGAAGCATACCAATTAGGCAGTAAACCAACAGTTGACAGAACAGAAAACAACTAGGTAAGTCTGTCAAATTTCATTTAGGTTTCCCAGAAAATCAGAATGTTAAGACAAATGAAAGCCAGAAATCACTAAGGGAGAGTTCCAAAGGACTGAACCACCATATTCCAATCAACGCAGAGCACACGTAACTTCTCAGGACTCTCAGAAGCAGCTAGGACTGTGCAGGCTTCTTGGAATAGGTATTGCTGCTCCTCCCCACATTATTTTGCTGTGCTAAATAATTCAGTCCTTTATTCCCTCTGTCTTCCTCCTACCCTCATCCTCACACATATCCCCATACCCCAAGGAGAAGTAAACAGAAAGCAGTTTTCCATTTCCCACAGATGACGGCTTAAGAATCCACCCGGAACACTCCTTTCAGATCTGAAGTCTTGGGAAAGGCTCTGATCTGATGTGTTTCCTGTCCACTGTGCCTCAGGTCTTTCAGCCAGATCGGACCACTCAGCACCCTCTGTGGGTCCTCAAAGGACAATGTCCACCCCTGGATTCTCAGATGGTCCTCTGGGCAGGCAAGCTCTGCTCCATCCTGAGCACACCTGATTCCATTGTCATCAGCTCGGAACTCTGGGCTGTGCCCTCGACCTCCACACCCAGCCTGGAGCTTCTCACACCCAAGGTGTGCACTGGTCTCTTTGGAGTCTGGTATTCCACTCGCCTCACCCCTGGCTCTCAGCATCCCCACATCCCAGGCAGATACATATCTGTCAGATCACACCTGGCCAGAGGCTGCCTCACAATGGTTGAAAGGAAGGAGTCTGCACACTTCCATCAGGTTACTTAAAACTGTCCATTGTTGTCTTTACCTTGACCATGGTGTGACTCAAAGCTAAACTGGATGTTCTCAAAAATGGGCCATTTTTACTCAAGGTTCCCAACAGAATCCCTTCGTTTTGGCCCTCTGACCTCTCCAGTCTGACCATACTAGCGGTCACAGCATTTTCTGGAAACAGGCAATGTATAAGTAAAGTAGCTTGCTTTCCTGCGTCAGAGGAATGATACAGTCTTAGAGACACAAGGGCCCTCAGCAGTCATGTGCCCCAGTATTTCCCAAACACCAGTTCTCAGACCAATTTTGGTTAGTCTATGGCTGCTAGTCACTGGACTACAGAAAAACAAAGAAGACATAGGAAATAAACAGCACTTTCATAATGCCAAATATGTACAATCTAAGGACAAATTTAGGAATAATCCTATTCTTTTAGTATTATTTTCTCTTCAGTGAAATTATGTTAGTAGATGGTACTAATTATTTTGTGAAAATAAACCTTTGATTATTAAAAATTCCACACACAAAATACAAAGAACAGTATGTAAATACATAGTGAACCCTCATTACTTATCCAGCTTTAATCATCAACTTCCTTTATATACAGCCAAAAAAAATTAGAAATAGGTCCTGAAATTGTTTTTCCTATTCCACAAAATTTGAAAGTATAGACATGACCAGGTTAGGCCAATTTACACCTGAAGAGAAGGACACCAAGATTAACTAACCTGTCCCAAGTTCTGCAGCTGGTCAGGAACAGAACTGATACATCTGGGGTGTGCCACGATACAGCTTCTGAGTAAGAGCATCAACTAAGACTGGCAGAAGAACTCTGTGTCTCTGCCCAGGATACTTCATACACACTACTTGAGATCATACAACTCTCCCAGGACAACAAAAGAAGGAAAACAACAATCTACAACCAAAGTTTACTTTATCTCATGCTAGACAATTGTTTCCCAACCATGGAGGGCTCCAGGAACTACCAGCCAGTTTCAGTTCAAAGACTACCGGAGATATCAATGACAGACTAGATAAAGAAAATGTGGTACATATACACCATGGAATACGATGCAGCCATAAAAAAGAACAAGATCATATCCTTTGCAGGAACATGGATGGGGCTGGAGGCCATTATTCTCAGCAAACTAATGCAGAAAACCAAATACTGCATATTCTCACTTATAAATGTGAGCTAAATGATGAGCACACACAGAAACAAAGGAGAAGAGAGAAGAACAACACACACTGGGGCCTACTGGGGCGTGGAGGGTGGGAAGAGGGAGAGGATCAGGAAAAATAACTAATGGACACTAGACTTAATAGATGGGTGATGAAATAATCTGTACAACGAACTCCCATGACACAAGTTTACCTACGAAACAAACCTGCATGTGTACCCCGAACTTAAAATAAAAGTTAAAAAAAAAAAAGACAAAAAGACCACTAGAAGTTTCTGCATTAATTCCTTACCCAGCACTTACCCCCTCAAACCACCCTAAGAGAAGATTTATGAAGCAAACCAGGGTGAATGAATGAGAATTCACACTATAAGGTCCAATATGATTAAAAAAAAAAAAAAACCCTGCTACTCAGCTCCTCCTCTGGGCCCCTATCATCACCTCACCAAAGTACCAGGAGGAAAAATCAGACAGGAATGGGAATATTAGGACCGGGCACTCTATACACCTGCCTCGCAGAACCACAGGAAGATCAAATGAGACAGCATAACAGACAGCAGTTTTAACATTTTATAAAACTATACCAATGCAGGGGGTTGGCCAATTGATGAGAATAAAGTATCTTTGCTAAAGGACTTACCTTAAATTCTCAGTTTCTATTAAGAGTGGATTTCCCTGAATATATCCTGAAGCATGTGAGAAGCCTCCTGCAGCACCTAAAATAATAATAAAAATCATCAGAATCAAGTAATGTTTTTGAAAAAGAATCTCAATCTATACATCTGGTCATTTCCCCCACACTAAGCATGAAAGGAAATAACTCAGGAAACAATGAATTTCCGCCACAACACGTGGGATGGGAATTTTCTTTACCCACAGGGAATTCAGGTCCCAAGACACTTATTTTGAAGACCAAAATCATGTTACTGCTGGCAAAGAGACAAAACACATTTTCTTCTTGTGGTAGGAATGCTTTAATGGCTTTGAATTTAAACAAAAACCAAATACAGACACATCCACCTCCCTCAAGGTCGGAAACAAAAATCTCAGGCACTGCACTCTGCTTCTTTTTAAAATTAGTTTACACGAGGCGCTCTTGTCTTCTTTTTTTTCCTATTTAGTTCCTCTAACACATCTGTGAAGTGGTCCCTTCTTGATTTTGCTGTTCCCATGTGGCTCCTGGTTCTCTAAGGCACTGGGAACTTGCTCTGTGGAAACCCAATTTGAACCAGAGAAGCGCTATAAGCAATTGTAGAAATCAACAAAATGGCCTAGCCACAGTTAACGAACAGGCGCCTGCGTGAGAACATGCACACATATCTACGAAACAGAATAAACATCCAGATACAGAACGAAGGATTCATATGAAACAGTCCCAAGTACGTGCAATCAAATCTGGGTGTACGGCAGACTAGTTAACAAACGGTGTTGGTTAGCATTTAAGAGAAGAAAACTCTACATCTCTCTCTCCCTACCTATGGAACAATAAACTCAAAAGGTTCCTTTTTTTATTTTATTTTATTTTATTTTATTTATTTATTTTGAGACGGAGTCTCGCTCTGTCGCGTTATTTATTTATTTATTTTGAGACGGAGTCTCGCTCTGTCGCCCAGGCTGGAGTGCAGCGGTGCGATCTCTGCTCACTGCAAGCTCCATCGCCTCCCGGGTTCACGCCATTCTCCTGCCTCAGCCTCCCTAGAAGCTGGGACTACAGGTGCCCGTCACCACGCCTGGCTAATTTTTTTGTATTTTCAGTAGAGACGGGGTTTCACTGTGTTCGCCAGGATGGTTTCCATCTCCTGACCTTGTTATCCGCCCGCCTCGGCCTCCCAAAGTGCTGGGACTACAGGCGTGAGCCACCACACCCGGCCTTATTTTATTTTTTGACAAAAGTATCATTTTAAAAATTTCTGTTCTATTTTTGCCATTCAAAAATTTTAGATTAAAAAAATTGTTACTAGCTACATGTCTCAGTCCTTTATACTTCCATATTGTGGTGTCATTCTTAAAAAGGCCTTTCCTATCTCATATATATATATTTTATATATATATTATATCATATTTTTTTTAAGACAGAGTCTCCCTCCTATTGCCCAGGCTGGAATGCAATTGCACGATCTCAGCTCACTGTAACCTCTGCCTCACAGGTTCAAGCAATTCTCCTGCTTCAGTCTCCTAAGTAGCTAGGGTTACAGGCGTCCATCACCACACCCAGCTAATTTTTGTATTTTTAGTAGAGACGGGGTTTTACTATGTTGGCCAGGCTGGTCTCGAACTCCTGACCTCAGGTGATCCATCCAACTGGTTCTCCCAAAGTGCTGGGATTACACACGTGAGCCACTGCACCCGTATTTCTTTATAGTAACAAAAAACAGACTAAGATAGTCTTAAAAATAAACAAAAAAATTAATACTCCCTTCAAAATGGATAAAGAAAATTAAATTTTTCATAAGAGTCTTAAAAAATATAACAGCAAGAAACATACGAAAATATAACAACTATACTAACAATAAAAATATGTAATTTTAGGCCAGACGCAGTGGCTCACGCCTGGAATCCCAGCACTTTTGGGAGGCCAAGGCTGGCGGATCATGAGGTCAGGATATCGAGACCAGCTAACACAGTGAAACCCCAACTCTACTAAAAATACAAAAAATTAGCCGGGCGTGGTGGCGGGCGCCTGTAGTCCCAACTACTTGGGAGGCTGAGGCAGGAGAATAGCATGAACCCAGGAGGTGGAGCTTGCAGTAAACTGAGATCGCGCCACTGCACTCCAGCCTGGGTGGCAGAGAAACGTCATTCTGTAGCCACCTGGGAGATTATGTCAGCGTATAAGTTGGCATGCCCTTTGATCCAGCAATCGTACTTCTAAGAATTCACTCAAGGTATATAATTAGGGAAGAAGAGAGATGGATACACATGGCCTTGTTTGTAATTATGAAGGGAGGAGGATAAATGCCCCTAAAGGCCCACAGATATGAGGCATGCTGAGTGAGCCACATAGACATTGAAAACAATTTTGGAGATCTATATTTATTGATATGAAAAGATATCCATTATATACTTCTGAGTGAATAAAATAGGTAAATGACCACATGCAGTATGATTCATTTGAGTGTGTGTATTCTTGGATGTCCAGAGAGATGTCTAGAAGGATGTTTATCAAAATAGTTATGATTCTGGTTATCAAAATGTTAGATGATTTTTACTTCTTATGCTGTTTGAATTTCATAAAATGAACAATCATTATTTTTCTAAATACAATGGAGCTACTTAACTTTTAAAATCTCACATTGAAGTTAAGGAATATACAACATCAATGTCCACTCTCCTTCTCTATCAATTTTTCCTCCCTGACTTTACTGACATTCATGCACACATGTGCTCTTAGTGAACACTGGGTAGAGAGTTAACCTTCCTCGAATCAGCTCCCATTCATTCCCGAGGGCCATGTCACCCCTGCCTTTGGGTCCCTAAGATACTCTATAGCCCTGTTATAAATCTCCCTTTCACTTATGCTAGATAGAGTGAGTGTGTTACTGTAACCAACAGAATCCCATCTAATACAGTGCTTCTTTTTCCTTTCCATTTCATCTTCTCAACCATTGCATACTATCTGAAAACAGAATAATCCTGTAGTCATATGAGTGAAGATTTACCACACAATTTCAACTAATGTTTATGTACCACAGCTAAAGTAACTGAAGAAGCTCAAAGCTGCTATGAAAACAGGCAAAAAACTATTTCAAGAGGCAGGTAGATTCATTCCTGACTAACAAGGGAATTGATGAAGAGATTTTCTGAAGAAGAATAAAAACAAAGGAGACTAATTGTACAGATGGGCCGTTCCTTGTGGTTAAAACACTTTCCATTATGTGTAACCACTTCACAGATTTATTTTTATTGGGTTATATTTATATATGAAATAATTTTTTCTATGGAGATTATAAAATACAGAAATGTATCCCCATAATGGGCCCATAATGTTTACTTTATCTCCAGCAAACAAATTTATTCTTCTCATTTTCCTTTATTTGTAAAAGTTCAGGAGTCCCATGTAATACATGTATCTTCATAATGACATAATTATAAACTTGGCTAAAAAGTCATAACTCCTTGTAGATGCACAAATCTTTTTATAGGTATGTTGGATATAAAGTACAAATCTAATTAACCCCCTTCATCTGCTGGCAGCTGCTTCTTCCCCACACAATTTTCCTAGAAGTTAGACAAAGGACGAGAACCACTCTCCAATTTCAGAGATGAGCAGTCATGAGACTTAACATAGATTAAGTATCTGTGACTCCAAAGCGCAACCCCCCCCCACCCCACCCCCAACACACGGGCCACCCAATGTGAACTGCTGGCCTCTCTGTTCTGACTCCCTTTAGTGTTAAACAAGTCCACATTTGTGACAGAGATGCATGAGGATTTATGAGACAAAACGTTGCATTTAGGGAAAGCAACAGCACAGCAGTTAAGAGGAAGGTGTCCGATCCTGGTTGGATCATTTACTAGTCATCCGGCTGGGTGTGCCTTAACCTCTCTGTACCTCAGTTTCCTCTTCTGTAATAATGCCAAGGGCAGCTGTGAGGATTAAAAGAGATATTATATCTGATGCAATCAGCAATGCTCAATAGTCACTGAGCTCCCTTGAGCTCCAGCTCAGGGGGTGCGATGGAAACAGCTCATGCTAGAAACTCGTTCATTGCCTGATCATAACAAGGTCCCTAGAGAACGCTGAGACAGAACATGTCTCCATGGAAGCACACCTACCTGTTTAAAATGCTTATTATCAACATGGATAAGATACATCCAAGTAAATAGGAGCTTATTTCAAAGGACCAGGAGCTTGCTATTTAAAGGAAACTTGCTTTAAAGTAGCCTTCTCCAGAGTAACATACGATAAATCATTTAGCAGCTCCCATCATGCGCCTTTTCTGGATTATTCTGAGAAGCACAAAAAGATGTGAACAAAAGTCAGCAAAAGCTACTACCTAAAATGCCAGTCACCAACAGCAGGGAATTAAGGCAGGCCTTAACTCTGCTCCTACATCCCAGACCCTTCCTACTTGCTCAGGGAAGCTTTAATACACCTCTCAGAGTCCACGGTTGCTCATCCTAAGAGCAGAAATGATCATACTCATACTTAGTTAGCTATTTTGACTGTTGTGAGGATGAAATGAGAGACTGGCATGGTGTCTGGAATCCAGTAAGTGTTTGGTAAATTATACACCTAATATTATCATCTCAACAGCATTAAAGAAAAAAGACACATATTAAGTAATCTGATGGAGACAACACCTGGCAGTTTTTCACCATGAGAGTTTTATAGACTGGTTTTCCTCATTTTACTTGGCTTAATCCCCACAGGAGTGTGGGTGTAAGTTGAAGGGGATGTGGAGTGTGCAGGATGTATGCAGCTGAACCCTAACTATGCGCTTTAGACCCATGCAGCCAAGAACCCATTTCTCATCAAATTCCATTAAAAGGCAGGGAACAGGGCGACACCACACTCAGGCTATGCCCTGACATCAACTGCATGTGCGAAAAAATCAGAATATGGGCTCATATGGGCCCCAGCCCAAGTGTTTTTGCTCTCCAAAGTTTAAAAAAAAAGTGTTTTTATAACATAAGACCAGGTAAAGCAGAGAAAATCCAATAGATTTGGCTGAGGATGAACAAGCATTACTCTTGGCTTGAAGCGATCACTAAT